TCGTGTATAATACGAAATATTATGTAATTAAGACTTTTTCTAATTTTACGAAAGTACGAAAAACTTTTGTAACTTTGTTATATTTAAGAGAAATAATTTCGTTAAGGCATGTGACATTTAACGAAAGTAAAGAAATATTTTCGTAATTTACGAGAATATTTTCCAAAGGATTTAAATTATATGCATAATTCTATTGTAGCAATTTTGCGACATGTGTACTATTCAACATCGAAAATAGGTAATAGTTAGTTAGTAAGTTTGAAAGGAGGATGTATATATATCAAATCCGAAGAAATACACCTAGGGCTTTATCGGGCCTTTTGTGAGCTCCTTAAGTAGTGCCTCAGGTGGGAAGCGAACTCACCACCTCCAGTCTACCAGACTAGAACACTAACCACTAACATACCGGAGGTCTCAAAATAGTTAACGTATCAAAATTTAAATTTACATGCATATATACATATAGAGTGTGAGAACTTGAATTAATACCAGTGCCAAAATAACCTTTTCAGGGACAAGTTTTATGACAGTTTCCTTCTCTTGTTGGACATCTTCTTTAACATAAATCCAAATAAATGTCATTATTTATTATTAACTTATTGTATTTTACATTTATAAAAAATATAAAATAAAGTGACAAGAAATCATGTATCTAACACTAAATTACAACTAACTAACACAATGCTAATTATATTGTTACATGTATCTAAGTGTAATATTATAGATACAAGTATAAAGATACATACAGGTTTTATAATCACTATGATTATAAATATGTAGAAACAAAAGTAAAATAACGCCTACAAATCCAACAAGTATATATAAAAAAAATATAATAAAAAAAATTTCTTAAAATTGAACAGATGTGTGTTTTTTTATTACAATATAAATATTTTTTAATTCATAATAAAATATATAAAAATATAATTTTTTTTTATAAACTTTTTTTATTTGCTAGAATTCACAACATTTCACATGACATTAAAAAAATAAAAAAACTGAACAAAAAAACTATAACAACTAACATATGAGTACTTGTATTTAAATATCCACTGGTTGAGAGAGTAGTTTTTATTGTATTTATGCAAAAAAGTTTAGAATGTTATAGAAAATAAAAATAACAACATGTTTACCACAACAGCAAAAAAAAAAAAAAACTTTTACTTGTGTCAAAACGGATATGTCGGCCTTTTGAAATGCCACTCCAATATGTTGAAGTGTTGATGATGAGTATAACGATCATGTTAAATATTTTTATATGGAATTTTATATGGTGCCAAAATGACCTCCTTCTTCTTTCGAAGACATTATTATCATCGTTCGTACGTTTGTTGTCTGTTGTACACTTTAAAGGCATAAAATCCAAATAATATTCATTTATTTAGTATCTGGAGGAATTATTATATTTTTTCGTTTTACTTTTATTATTGTATAGAATTTATTGTTATAAGTAGAGAATTTGTTTTTGTTATATAATTAACATATAAGACGCGTATTTAAAGTTCATGGGAAATTTAGAACATGAATCATAAAACTCTAAAAAATTTATTAAAATAAAATTATAAAAGTACTTAGTTTGATTCCCATATTTATTCAAAGAATTATTGGACTTTTTAAAAGATCTCTCAGAATATGAAGCAATGATTCTATTTTGAACCAGTCACGTGATTGTTTCCTTCTGATAATGATAACTATATCTTTAGACGATTATAAAATAATATTTATGAATTTGAATTTTAAACTGTCGGTAATACTTTAACAGGTTAAGGATTCAGTACTAGTTCCTTCATATTAAATATGGAAAAATCTCTCAATTTATTCCGATAAGATCGAGAATTGGAGATATTATTCAATAAATATTGTTATCAAACTCAATAAGAGCTTAAAAAATCATTTATACAACAGAATTAAAACGTTTGAGAGCAGTAGGATTCGTTCAAAAATGGAGAAATTGGCTACCATACGAATCAAGGCCGAAAGATCTTGAAATATTTTTGCACCAAATCAGTCCATCCCTTAAAAAATTTTCTTCAGAATTAGAGAAATCGGCAACCTTACCAATCAAAGCCGAAAGACCTTGAAAGCTTTTTGAACCGAATCATTCCTTCCGATAAAAAAATTAATCTAAATTTCCCGATCCAACTTTTTATATGAATAAATCTCTCTCAATATTATCCGAAAAGATCTAGAAATGAAGATTGTTGTCAAACTCAACAAGACCTTAAAAAATCATTCAAACAACACTTTTAAAACGTTTGAGAGCAGTAGGATTCATTAAAAAGTATAAAAATTGGCTACCATACGAATCAAAGCTGAGAAACACTGAAAAATTTTTGCACCAAATCATTGCATGCGATGAAAAATTCCTTATAAAGTAGAGAAATTGGGAACCATACAACTCGAAGCCGAAAGACGTTGAAAGATTTTTGAACCGAATCATTACTTCCGGAATGATCGTTTGTGAAGGAGAAGGAGTGTAAGAGATCGTATGTAAAGGTCGGCAAATTAGCTGAATCGGCACCATATATAATACGGTCCTAAACTGCTGAAATTTAGCCAGACCAGAGAACCTGTAACGAATGCAACTGATTCATTTAAAGTGATCATTAGCTGAAAAACGCCCAGAGTATGCAGCCAGACATGAAAGCGTAATATTCCATCATGACAAAGCTCGGTCACATTTTGTCTTACTTTTTAAAAACTATTTAGAAGAACGTGGTTGATAAGTTTTGCCTAGCCTTACTGTCTAGACCTTGTCCCGTACGACTACTATTTGTTTCTCCGGTATACACTTCAGTTCAAAACATGGTATCCGTAATTGATTCGTTTTTGGCCTCAAAAAGATGAGCAGTTCTTTTGAAGCGGATCGATATGGTGCCAGAAAGATGGAAAAGGTTATAGCCAATAATGGTCAAAACTTTGAATAAATGTATGTTTGTAATATAAAAGCTAAACACTTAAAATAATTCCGAATTTTGAATTTATACCCCCAATAGATAGATGTCAGTTTACATTTTCACATCTATTCTCAATTGACACTCTGTGACAGGTCACAGAAATTGTACCGTTTTTAAAGATTCTATTCATCATTCGAATTCACAAAGAATTCACAAAATCATTTATCGTGTATGAACAGTTAACAATAGTCACCCACAATTCACAATAGTAGCAAGAAGAGAAAGAATGAAGAGCGTTCGCCATTAATATGAAATTAAGGTTGATTAACTCTTTTCCGATTTCAATTTAAATTGAAGATAAAACATCGAACTCGTTTATTGAGATTACTACTAGGCTATGATCAGACTTTTCTCGTTTTCATAGCAATACAGACAATCGCATTGCAAAAGTGGGATTTTCAAAAATAAAGAACAAAAAATACATAAAGGATCTTAATTAATTTGTAAATATCTAAAGGTGAGTATCTATCAGTATGTCTGTCAAAGAATATCTATATGTATAAATAAGTATGTCTATGTTAACGACATTTGACGTCAGCATAAACATTTTTTCAATATCATTTATTATTTGTTGTTACAGCAATCTTATCTTATTGTGTCTGTATATCTTATCAGTTAAATATCGATATACTGACATTTCCATAATGTTTTTTTTTTTCTACTTGATTTTTAACATTTTTGTTTCATTATTTATCTTTAGAGAATTATATACATGGTTACGAATATATAAACAATACACAAAAACAAATTACTTTTTTCTTTTTTTTTCATTCAAAATATACTCAAACAAAAGACAAAACATTGAAAAATGCATTTTAACTGCACAATTGCTTGCACTATGGTCGATTTGTTATTGGTGGTGGGTATAGAGGTTGGGCTGGGTTTTATTGCGCTAGTGGTATTGGTTACAAAGGCCATAGTCATAGTTAAACGCTTCATCATGTTTGAAAATAAACAATTTATTTTAATAATTATGAATTGAGTTGTGATTTAATATTATTTTTTTTTATTCACGATTTCAATTAAATAATTGAATTAAATCAAAGTGTGGTTTTTTGCTGGCCATTTGTTTTGTGTGTTTATTTTTGATTTGCAATGAATGCAAAACAAAGAAAGTTAAAATTAAAACTGATTACAGCTGTCTTATTAATGAGAGATCTGACCAGATTATGTGGTTTTTTAATCATATGCATGATTTCATCATTGTTTCTTTATACATATTATTTATACCCTAACAATCAATTGGATGGAAATATTTTTAAAGTAATTTTTATTTTAAGAAATTTTTAATCGTATTTGAAATATTTTGCGACTGGTTTAGAGATTTTTTTTTAACCCGCTTCTAACAAACTAATGTAGATAGATGAGAAAATAGCAATAAAAACATCTAAAGCAGTGATTGGTAAAGTGTTCTCTTATGTGCTCTCTTTTGCTTTAACACTGAACCCACGTAAAATAGTCAGAAAGTGCCCTGCTGGGAATCAACACATCCCAGACTGTAGGGACCGGTTCTAGTTCCTACAATCCACATGATTGAAGGGGAACATGACGAAATCATTGGAATGAACATTTTTAAGAAGTCTGTAACTGATCACTGAACTAACTATCTGTTTCCCTATAAATTTGTAAATTACTGATCAATAAATTGCACTGATCTTTAAATCCTTCTTTCTTATTCAAAATCGGAAAGAGTAAGGTTAGTTCGAAAATCAAAAATCGTGTCAAAATAAGAGATCGTCTTTCTGTAATGTGTTGGATCCAAAAACAGCCCCTACCCCAAAAAATCCGTTACCAAATTAACATTATTTCAAAACTAATACTAATAATGAGTTATGTTCCCTATCAATCGTTTAATGGAATGACAACATTTCAAAATTTAACTTATTTCTGAATATTTTCATAAATTCGAAGATAATCGATCCTCCTTTAAAAAGCAACTAACTTTTTTTAGCAAAATATTTTTATCTTTGCAATTTCAACAAGGATTTAAACACATTTTTTAAATAATAAATAAAAATATAATTTAATTTTCTGTAAACTTACCGCAAATAACTGCCACTATCACTATGTGTAAGTATATTGCCTGAAAGTTGTTGCTGTTGGTGTTGTTGTTGCTGCTGCTGATGATGATAACTCTGGGCTGTTGCTATATCCATATAATCCGAATTTGTTAAAGGTCTTAAACTGTTAGTGCTAGTAATACTACCGGAACGACTGGCCTGCTGAGAAGCAGGAAATGAGATCAATTGATGTTGCTGGTGTTGTACAGGAAAAGGTTTACCCACCATCGCCACAGACAGGGGTAAAAGAGCACCAGACGACGTCGATGACGATGTTAAAGAAGGGAAATTAGTGTTTGTGTTATTAGAGGCAGAGGAGGCACTATTACCATTTCCTACATTGGTAACATTTGATTGTGGGGTATGAGCAATACTTGTATAATGCTGTACAGAAAAAAAAATGGAGGAAAAAAGTAGAAAAAAGAAAGACACATTAATTTACTTTTTATAACTTTCAATCATTTTGCACATTAACGGTTACACCACCATTTTATTTACAACAAAAAGTTATTAAATAAAATAATAATAAACCAAAATAAAAAAAGAAATACCAAATGTTCAGTTAAAAGACAACTAAAAAACACTTACCATTTGCAAAACATCACACTCCTTGGGCACCACCAACAATTTCAACTCCGAAGGCGTTTGCTTGATCATCGACACAATGTTACTGTAGGCGATACCAGCTATTGGTGTGTTGTTCACCATTAGAACGCGATCGCCTGTCTGCAGGTTGGCATAGTAAGCGGGTCCATTCGGATGTACTTCTTTTATGAAAATCGTTTCCATAGCTTTCACTTGGTACGGTTCGGATGCTTCCTACACATATTCAACACAACACACGAATGAAACGAATGCATAAATAATACAATCATACAACCAACATATACGGCAAAATCCATCCATTTATTTATTCATTGTACCCATCGTACCATCATCATCATCATCATAGTCAAGAAACAGAGAGTTTTGTTTTGGAGTTGCAGAAATTAAGAAAGAAGTTGGAAAAAAAATATATAAAACGAAACAAAATAAAATAAAGCGTTAAATTATGTTGTAGTGGTTTAAAGTTGTTAATGGTTTTTTGTAGTTGTTGCTGGTAAAGTTGAAGAGCATATTATGAAAAACACCAGCAACTACAACAACAACAAATTGCAATTTTTGTAATACATATAACCCTGCAGTTTTAGGTGCTTTCTCCTAGCTTTCTTGAATGAAAAGCTGTAATCAACTACAGTTCTAAAACACATAAGAGCATATTCATTTCTAATGAGCAATATAAAAAAATACATTTATAGATCCTCTCTCCATTACTTAGGTGCCTATTATTTTAATTTATGCATTACTTGGGATTATAAAAGTGGTGACTAAATTCCTTTCTATATTGTTAACAATACAAACGGGACTCCAATGTGTCTACTGACTTCCTCTACTTAGAAACACTGTAATCTCGGATTGACTTCCTCTCCACTTTACAAAGAGCACACGAGTGAGAAATGTATCAACAATTACAATCGAGTCAATCAGGTGGTCATTTAAGAAAAATACTCTTTAAAAGGGATACATTAAGTCATTAGGAGAACTGTTAGGAACTGAGAAGAAAAATTTACAACAACAAATGAAATTGTTGTTGAAAATGAAATTAGTGCAAATTCAAAATAAACTTAACAATAACACAAATGTATACACTCTCACTTACACGCACACTTTAACATTAATGGCCAATGCTTAGCAAATAAAATAATAGATTTCCTAAACTACAGTGTTTCATATTATGTACAAATTTCGGGAAAATTTAAAACAACACTCTATTTTTTGAAAAATAATATTTCTTAAACCTAAAACGTTTTACGTAAATTTTAATCGGGTGACCCACTTTGCTAGTTTTTTAATACTTGCATCAATAAAGAATATTTGTGAAAAGTTTAAGTCCCCAAGATTCTCCCATTTTGAGTCTTAAATGATTTTCAATGTCACCCGGGGTTCTAAGTCGTCCTGATTTGCAAAAGAATATTGATGGGAATATAAGATGGGATTATATTGATTTTGTCATTCCGTGTGTAACACATCGAAATATTGTTCACAGACCCCATATATTTATATTCTGGGATCTCGTAAGATTCTAAGACGATCTAGCTATATCCGTCCGTCTGTCTGTTGTTGGCACGTTCACATAAAAAGAGGTATTCCTTATTGATCAGAAAATGGACAAAATCGGTCAACGATTTCACATAGCCCCCATACAAATGTAACCCCCAGAATATTGTGTAAAAAGCTTCAAACATTCACAAATTCGTTGTATATGAAGCAAATGCCACAAAATTTCGCAATTCGATTCAAGTAAGTTCCTTGCGAGCCAAATTTTATGTGGATCCACGCATATAACTCCTCTTACAAAAAACCAGTTTATGGATATAATAATTGGATAAAAAGATTTGTTTTTAAAAATTAATATTTTTTAATTCGGAAGAGTACTGTCACTATTTAAACCCTCATTAATGGACCTCGTTCAAATATTACCCTTCTGTTCTTATTAATATTGACCCTGCAGTTCGACAAAGCGTCAATGCATCCGAAAAAGACAGTGATATCCACTAACGTCTAACCACCTGGTTGGCTCTAATTCGTCTTTCGTCACGGATGTACCCTTTGTAAACGAGGGTGAAGATAATCGTCACTTTAGTGTCCCCTTTGTAAGCGAGAGGGGGACACTTAAAAAGCACTTGTCTGTCTTTTTGTTACCTATGGGGTGACGATTGACTTCCTTGTAGGACAAGCATACGTTAAAATAGCTTGTCACCTGGACAGTCGGTGGCTAGGTGAAACCCTATGTGGTAGGTTAAATAGGGAGTTCGGGACGGTCCGACCTAACTGCTGGGTGATATATGATAATGAAATATTCGCGAATTAATATTGTACATTATTTAGTACCATCACGTTCCTAACTTACTTAATTGATTTCCATCGTCTTTGACAAAATTTGTAGTCTCCAAGATTTTCTTATTTAGAGTTTTTGTTGGTCCAGCACAAACTTCTTAAATTGACGTTTGTGACGTTTTCAATGCCACCCTGGGATTTGAGTAGTGTATGAAGTATTCATCCCCCTTTGCGAAAAGTATTTCTTAAAAGCATAAATTTTTTCGTATCATTTGCGAGTCCAACGACCAAAATTTAGATTTTGTAATCTAACTCAGATAATTCTAATTCGAGAGGACCGACTATAACGAAAACTTCAACCTTTAAGCTCCTTCAACTTATACGAATGCTATCAAATGACAGACGGAAGAACACCATGGATCTAAGACCAATATTTCTATGTATTATAAACAGAATGACAATATTAAAAAAACAACTAAATTCCCAAAATTTTCACAGTTTAAACACTGTGCTTTAAAAGCATAAGCATTTTTACACTTCTTGCTTAAATACGAAAAACCTAACGAAGCATAACACAAAATCAAAAGTGGTGAATATTTAAAATAAAACACAATCATATTAATTATAATAAAATAATTAATTTTGTTAATATAAAAAAATAAACATATTGAGTTAATGATAATTATCAAAATGCAGACGATTTATAATCAACAAAGAAGGAAATTTCATAAGATATGTACTAGACAGTGCAGACCTTGCATATATATATTTTATACAACTTCCGACTTACTTTTATTACCTTAACTAATGGTTAATTAAACAGTACTTTATATTCAGATTAATTCAGTGTTTACTAGTGACCACAACATCCCAGTCAAATTTGATTTAATAATTAAGTGCTTTCCGAGCTGATAGCCCTAACAGTTAATGCTCTTTGAAAATATGTTTTTGTCTTAGAATAATACCTTCACAACTTAAATGTTCTAACTTACAGAAAATATTGAATAATTTAACTTTAAATGAATTCATATTATATTTAAAAAATCAGCTGCAATACAATCTCTAAGACGTATAATAAAAGATCAATAACATTCAAATAAATTATTAATGAATAAACAACTAGGTAGTTATAAATTCTTTACACCTTTATTCAAGCATAAACTATATTCAAATATGTTTTATGGTTATTTGAAAATAACTGAATAACCGATTAAGCATGAAAGATAAACACTAGTTTCCCAATTGCTTTAAAAAATTATTTATTTAAAATAAATAATTTTCTAAGATTTGTTTATCATTAATTGCATGAGTAAAAAACAAACGAATAATCGAATTAAAAATATTATAGTACAACACTAATTGATGAGCCAGCCACTAACACAAAATCAACAAGAAATTAACGGTTATTTATGTTTACGACTTAAACTGCAGTTATTAGTTCAACGACATGTACATTAAGTATACGTTCATACATATGGATGTTCCAAACATCACACTTATATTCATTATGTAAATTTATACGAGGGTTGCTACAAAATTGTTTAGAAATTTGAAATTTATTATTTTTCTGATCAAGTAAAAAGCACTCAAAAAGTCTCGCAAACTCTTCTAAATTTCAATACAAAAATGTCAATAGAAAGATTTATCTCGGGCAAACTTTCCTAAAGTGTGCGTAATGGCCCAAACATTTGATGGTAGTTTTTCTCAGGTGGCAGTATATGGACGATGTATGGTATGAAAAAAGGTGGGAGAATATTGATTTTGTCGTTCCTTTTGTAACACATACAACTATTGGACGTAGACTCTATATTAAATTTTAAGACGATCTAGCCATATCCGTCTGTTGAAATCACTATAGGGTTCGAACGGACACAAATCTGTATCAAAGTTTTTGAGAATCGGTGCACAATTGACCAGAACATCTATTTATTGGCAATAAATCAAACAAAAATAATGCAAATACGATAAAAATAGACAAACATGATTGTTTTTTAGAAATCAATCACTCTTTAGAGCTTGGTCCACAATCGAGGGGTCACCTTCTAAAATTCACTTATTTACGACCCATGTGACTAACCCTTACTTTTTTTCGTGGCCGATTTATTCATTTTCAATGCCTTAGATTCTAATCATTATAAAATTTTCTTGAAAATTTACCTCCTCTTAGGTCCATTCCTCTGAGCGCTATCGTACTTTCAACAGACATATGGACTGGTTTAACTTAAAAGACTTTCTTACGTATTAATCGCTTATTTATGGTTTATTAAGCAGATTTTCCAAATAAAATACCTATAATAAACCAATAATATCTTTATTAAGGGTTTATGAATACCTCAGATTTGAAGTCCATACATTCTAATAATGGAATTTATCTCTAGACATGACAAAATATTTTATAAATATTTTGAAGAGAAAGCTATTTCTTCTGTTAAGAAATTTTCCCACAACTTTGCAGTTTAAACCTCGTATGTACATATACATTTATGTTGTTGTTATTGTTAAACTTTCAATATTTGGCTAATTGTTGTTTTTGGATTTTTTTTATGAGCCTTTAAAATTTTATTAATATAATTTACCTGTGGCCAAGAGGGATCATCTTCCGGTGGATAAGCAATAAAATGACGTAGAGTAAAACCAAAACCTTGATTTGGCCGACGTCGTATAACAACAAGTTTTGGTTGTGGCATTTGCTGTTGACCAGCCGTTGACGATGTACTCGTATTCTGCAACATTTTGGCAAATTTTGTTTTTGTTTTGAAAATACTACTTAAACAAGCAACTGGTCCTTTTTGAACGTTTTACTGTGCTCTTGTTGTTTTTGAAAACTTAAAACTTTTACTGAGCACCATCAATTAAACACAACAACAACAATAATAATAATAATAATAATAATATCAGTTTAATGCTGCTGCTGTTGTTTCTGTCCGTTCGTTACTGTATTGATGTCAGTTTAATTTGCATGAAGTGAAGAAGAAAACTAAGCATAGACATAGACGTTGTTCCTGTTGTTGCTGCTGCTGCTGATGATCACGATGATGTTGATGACGATGATGTGATTTTAACATCTTTATTGGAGCTATAGCTATTTGTAGTAGTCGTCTTCGTCTTCAACGTTGTAGCCGTTATAATAATTTCCAAGTAAGTGGCATTCACAATTGGTATCAAATTGCACAAGATCAGAGTTTGAGCAGTGTGTTCATCAAAAGATCAATCTATTTAGTAGCTTGAGCTGTTTGCTCGTCATTCGTTTACTGTTTGTTGGCTGGCTTTTGTTGCTGGCTATTTGTTGTTGACTTTTTGTAACAAGTGTAAGAAGAGAGCGAGCGAGTAAATGATCGTTATTGAAGAACAAACAACATGCATTAGGTCTCCGTAGTCGTCATAGTCATAATATCCATCGTCATTATTATTAACTTTATGAAGGTTACGATCATGGGGTTAATCAGCCATCTTGTGTTTTCTTATAATAAAAGGTTTATTTTTATTTTAGACATTTTTTTATTTCACTTTTATTTTGCAGATCAAATGTTGTTTTTTGCTGCTGCTGTTGTTGTTTTTGTTTTATTTTATTTCTGCTGACAATTATATATAAACTGTTAAATAAAAAAATGAGAAAGATAAAATGATTAAATACTGGAAAAAACAATAATATTTATTTTTAGATTTAATGAGAAAAAAATGTTATTGACATATTGGATGAGTAAAAAATAAATAAATAATACTGCAAAGAGCTTTATTATAAAGTTGAAACGAATTTGGAAAGCCTTTACAGATAAATGTTCTAAATATATGAATTCTCTGGAAGTGATCGGATTTATATAGAAATAACTCTCAGATTCCTAATATCGTATTAAAAAATGTCAAAAGAGGTAAGCACTTAGTATTACTTTCGAAATGCTGATAACTGAATGTATTTTACTGCTAAAATACAATGCTGTAATAATCTCAGCAATATTACCGCAAAATTTTGTTTACATTGTTACTGATCAGCTGTTTTTTTTCCAACAGCAATGATGATGTTTTAGATAACGATTTTATTATTCCAAAAATTAATATTTATTCTAACAAATTTATTTAATTATAATAAACACACAAAAAACACCCAAATAAGTATTTATTTTTAACGTACAAATTCAAAACCACCTTCTTTCTTAATGCGCCTGAAGATTTCACAAAATTCACCACTTAAAAGCTTTTTAATGAAAGATAAGCTTTTTATATATTTTTTTTTTTGTTTATAATAAGCGTTTTAAAAACTTTCATTTATTTAAATATTAATATCTGCTTTTTTTAATAAGCATGATGTATGCATGTATGTATGATTAGCAAAAAATTATAATATTAGAAAATTGTTGTTAACGACCGACGAGACGTTGGGTCTTAAGCAAAACATTAAATAAATTAAAATAACAAAAAATCGAAAAAAAATAAAAACTTTTAATAATTAAATGCTAAAAATCCATTAACAAAAATTCATCCGCATTAGTGTTTTGATGTATATTAATTTAAATTGTTTACGTTTTTTTATTGTATTTGTTTCATTTAACACTATTATTAACAATTAAAATTTTGAACTATTTGAATTGCAAACGGATAAATGCGGAGGCTTAGTCGACTTATTAGACACGATTTTTAGAAAATGACTATAGACTAGACTATAGACTAGAATATAGACTAGACTATAGACTTGACTATAGACTAGAATATAGACTAGACTATAGACTAGAATATAGACTAGACTATAGACTAGACTATAGACTAGACTATAGACTTGACTATAGACTAGACTATAGACTTGACTATAGACTAAACTAGACTATAGACTAGACTATAGACTAGACTATAGACTAGACTATAGACTAGACTATAGACCAGACTATAGATTAGACTAGACTATAGACTAGACTAGACTATAGACTAGACTAGACTAGACTAGACTAGACTAGACTAGACTAGACTAGACTAGACTAGACTAGACTAGACTAGACTATAGACTAGACTAGACTAGACTATAGACTAGACTAGACTATAGACTAGACTAGACTATAGACTAGACTAGACTAGACTAGACTAGACTAGACTAGACTATAGACTAGACTACTATAGACCAGACTATAGACCAGACTATAGACTAGACTATAGACTAGACTATAGACTAGACTATAGACTAGACTATAGACTAGACTATAGACTAGACTATAGACTAGACTATAGACTAGACTATAGACTAGACTATAGACTAGACTATAGACTAGACTATAGACTAGACTATAGACTAGACTATAGACTAGACTATAGACTATACTATAGACTAGACTATAGACTAGACTATAGACTAGACTATAGACTATACTATAGACTAGACTATAGACTAGACTATAGACTAGACTATAGACTAGACTATAGACTAGACTATAGACTAGACTATAGACTAGACTATAGACTAGACTATAGACTAGACTATAGACTAGGCTATAGTATAGTCTATAGTATATATAGTATAGTCTATAGTCTAGTCTATAGTCTAGTCTATAGTCTAGTCTATAGTCTAGTCTAGTCAGTCTATATCTAGTCTATAGTCTAGTCTATAGTCTAGTCTATATTCTAAGTCTATAGTCTAGTCTATAGTCTAGTCTATAGTATAGACTATAGACTAGACTAGACTAGACTATAGACTAGATGACTAGACTATAGACTAGACTATAGACTAGACTATTAGACTAGACTATAGACTAGACTATAGACTAGACTATAGACTAGACTATGACTAGACTATAGACTAGACTATAGACTAGACTATGACTAGACTATAGACTAGACTATAGAACTAGACTATAGACTAGACTATAGACTAGACTATGACTAGACTATAGACTAGACCATAGACTAGACTATAGACTAGACTATAGACTAGACTATAGACTAGACTATAGACTAGACTATAGACTAGACTATAGACTAGACTATAGACTAGACTATAGACTAGACTATAGACTAGACTATAGACTAGACTCTAGACTAGACTATAGACTAGACTATAGACTAGACTATAGACTAGACTATAGACTAGACGACTATAGACTAGACTATAGACTAGACTATAGACTAGACTATAGACTAGACTATAGACTAGACTATAGACTAGACTATAGACTAGACTATAGACTAGACTATAGACTAGACTATAGACTAGACTATAGACTAGACTATAGACTAGACTATAGACTAGACTATAGACTAGACTATAGACTAGACTATAGACTAGACTATAGACTAGACTATAGACTAGACTATAGACTAGACTATAGACTAGACTATAGACTAGACTATAGACTAGACTATAGACTAGACTATAGACTAGACTATGCTATAGATTAGACTATGAAGTAGACTCTAGTCAGCTATAAGCTATAATCCAAACTTTATACTGACCTACTACACAAACTAGATTATAGTCGGAACTATATAGACTAGGCTATAGTCTGGACTATAAACTAAACTATAGTCAGGACTATGAGCAATAATCTAAACTTTAGACTGAACTATATTCGTTATACTATATATACTATATCCTAAGCCATAGATTTTAGTATTAAGTTCTTTTATGCAACTACAACATCCAACCAAATATACTTCATCACAATTATAGCGCACTAAACCAAAACGAGTGGAAGTGGAGAAAAAAAAAAAAACAATCATGTTTATAAACACTTAACTCCCCAATACGTCATTATATGCTGGTGTAGATCATTTAAGGTGAGATCTCATCTTTTAGTGGTTGGGTTGTAGTTTTTTTTTTTTTTTTTTGGGTAGATTTGAAATGTATTTTTATTTTTTCTTATTCGCTGTAGTTTCTTAGTTTCTATTCATGTTTATTTTTAATTATATCAAAATAACAACAGAAGCAGTGATGTAGTGTTGATATTATTTATTTATTTTTTCTAGTCAAAGATTGATGAGTTTTGCATTAACAAATAGCAAAGTACTACTTTCAGCTCCCAAAACACAACTAGTAACAACATGAACCTCATCAGAGCAATCAATGCAAAATGAATAACCTGAAAAACCTTAAACTTTTGGCCAAAATAAGAACAATACAAACTTTTAATATAAACCTTATTATGTTAAGAAACCGCTTGAAAACTTTTAATTTCTAGTTTTTTTTTTAACACAAATTTAGGTTTTGTTAAAAAAGTTAAAATTTTTTAATGGTATATTAAAAACTAGTGTTTAAAAAACAATTATCTGTAACTGTATTATTAAAATTATTAAAATGTAATTACGAAACAAAAAGAAATTTTATTAAGCGGCTTTAAATAGCAAAAAACGAAAATCTTCCATACGCACTTACCCACTACTCTACTATTAAGCCAGCCATGCATATAATTATAACTTATACGAACGAATATAAATAATTATTTAATTTTTGTTTATTTAAAAATTTTATATAATATGTATTGTGTGTTTTTTCTTAGAAAAGAGATTCAAATCTGGTTCTTTAACTTTTTTAAGGTACAATTATTTATGTAGATTTGTTTATTTTCTGACAATTTGCTAGCATTAGCAATAAAATCATTATTAACCCTTGCTTTGCTACTATGTATATTGAACACATTTGAAAAAATCTTTTTTATAGCAAATTAAGACTAGACTATAGACTAGACTATAGACTAGACTATAGACTAGACTATAGACTAGACTATAGACTAGACTATAGACTAGACTATAGACTAGACTATAGACTAGACTATAGACTAGACTATAGACTAGACTATAGACTAGACTATAGACTAGACTATAGACTAGACTATAGACTAGACTATAGACTAGACTATAGACTAGACCATAGACTAGACTATAGACTAGACCATAGACTAGACTATAGACTAGACTATAGACTAGACTATAGACTAGACTATAGACTAGACTATAGACTAGACTATACACTAGACTATAGACTAGACTATAGACTAGACTATAGACTAGACTATAGACTAGACTATAGACTAGACTATAGACTAGACTATAGACTAGACTATAGACTAGACTATAGACTAGACTATAGACTAGACTATAGACTAGACTATAGACTAGACTATAGACTAGACTATAGACTAGACTATAGACTAGACTATAGACTAGACTATAGACTAGACTATAGACTAGACTATAGACTAGACTATAGACTAGACTATAGACTAGACTATAGACTAGACTATAGACTAGACTATAGACTAGACTATAGACTAGACTATAGACTAGACTATAGACTAGACTATAGACTAGACTATAGACTAGACTATAGACTAGACTATAGACTAGACTATAGACTAGACTATAGACTAGACTATAGACTAGACTATAGACTAGACTATAGACTAGACTATAGACTAGACTATAGACTAGACTATAGACTAGACTATAGACTAGACTATAGACTAGACTATAGACTAGACTATAGACTAGACTATAGACTAGACTATAGACTAGACTATAGACTAGACTATAGACTAGAACTATAGACTAGACTATAGACTAACTATAGACTAGACTATAGACTAGACTATAGACTAGACTATAGACTAGACTATAGACTAGACTATAGACTAGAC